ACTGTACAATAGCTAATATTTTTACCAGCGATTTTATGTAAAAAATTTTTATTTATTTATTTTTATTTATTTTCATAAAGCGGTTGATAAACACAATCACTCGTATTACTAAAAAACTTTAATGAACGTTTTGAATAGATTTTTAATGTTTACAAAAAATTTTATTTCTAGTAAAATAAAATAAAATAAAATGTTAGAATAAAAATCTTTGGGCAAATAAAATATTTTTTATTTGCGCTTACCAATTCTTAAAATGTTTCCTCGAAATTACTCTTTAAATACATCAAACAGTTAATAAATATTTTTAAATCTATGGAATAATTTTAAAACCTAACAAACCCCCGTAAAATAATTATTTAAATTAAAAATCTAAAACTAAACGAAAGTATTTTTGTTTAATTTTATCGACAACTTTGCTATTGCTAAATAATTTTATTAAAATATTAGTTTAAAAAGATTTAAACTTTTTTTTTAATCTGAATTTTTTCAACTTGTAAATAATGAGCATATTTAATTTTTTTGTAATTCAAACTTTTATATCAACTGCGTGCGGTTTTTAAAATCTTTATTAAATGTTAAAATAATCGTAAATTACTTCATTAAAATTCCGCTCAAAAATATCTTTAAATATACTCAAACAAAAATTTTTTTGCTCGACCTAAATAGCCCTAGCTACATGCAAAATCGCTCTTGGACGACGTAAAATTCACATCGCCCGACGCTATATATATATATATATATATATATATATATATATATATATATATATATATATATATATATATATATATTGCATATATATATATATATATATATATATATATATATATATATATCAAAAATGGAACTCCACAAAATACAATGGCTTATGTGAAAATATTACAATAATAACATATGACTAAATGTTTATGTAAACTAGACAAAATGTATAAATCAAAAATCATTTTTCATCAGTTATAAAAATAAAATCAAAAAAAATAGATGTAAAAAAACGTCAGGCCTTGCTTTAAAGCGTTACGTGTAGAGCAATTTTTGTATGCCTTGAGCGATTTTGGTTCGACTTTGGTTTTTATCATTTTTTAACTTTTAAACTATTCTATAAGTGGTAAGATTAAAGTAATTAATTTTTAAAAAAATCACATTAACTTTTGAATGACGTTTACATAAAAATATTTGTTACATAAGTTTGATGACAATTATGTTAGATATTGAGCGCCATTTATTAATGAAAAAAAACTCAAATAAAATTTAAAATTTATTTTGTTTTTATTTTTTGTAATGATTGATTTTTTTCGCTTAAAAACACTAATACAGTTGACTCTCTATATATTGAACTCTCAGGGGACCGGGAAAAAAGTTTGAGATATTGAGAGTTCAAGATATCAAGTAGTCGAGATACCAAGAATCAACTGTACTTTAAGCTTGAAGCGAAGATCATAATAATATAATTTAAATCTGATAAAAAATATATGATTTAATTTAAAACTAATTTAATAAAAATATATAATTTTATTCTAATAAAAAATATATATAACTTAATTTAGATTTAAAAAATATACTATTTAGTTTTGATTTAAAAAATATATTTAAGTTTATTAAAATTAGTATAAAAATATATTTATGTTTATTAAAGTTAATACTTGGGTTTAACTTGAGATTGTCAAATTTTTTGCTAAATATTGTTCAATATTTAAATTTTATTTGTTCTTAAAAAAAAAAAATTAGCTTATTTTGAAAAATAAAATTTTAAAAATTTAATACTTATATTGAATTATTATAACATTTTTATATTTCTACATTGTTTTGAGGTAATTAATCAATAAAACTAGTTTGCAGTAATTTAGTAATTTGGTTTAGTTCAAAAAAGTTAAAACCAGCAAGTATAAAAAGCAAATAAAAAAAAACTTTATGACATCAAAAACTTGATAACGCTTTTGCGCTAAGCATTTTTAACATCATTAAGCCTAGAACAAGAAAATCAAAGTCCATATTGACTGTCAGAGAGTAAATTGTTGTACTTAAGATGATATTAGAAACTCATTAGAAAAATATTCAAAGACTTTGCTAATAATAGTAAGAAGAATGGGTAATAGTAAGAAGAATGGGTAATAATAGTAAGAACAATGGGTAATAGCACAATATACTGCTATAATCTGTGTAATCTTTTAACTAAGTTAAAAAGATAATTACATAGCATATATCATTTTTACAACATTGAAAAGTATATAGAAAATACGATATTAGTGAAATCAAAAAAAATCAATACAATTTTTTACTATAAACTTTTTTAGATTAGAAGTCCTTTGATGATCGCAATTTTCTTAAGTGCATACTTATGTTTTAAGACTTTTAAGGCCATAAAATTTCCTATCATAGCAGTATCACCCTTGATATCTACTTTCCATTTTTCCAATGCCCTGATGAAATACCTCACAAATAAGTTTCTTGTATGGCTTATCCTCCAAAATCTAAGGCTTTTACAAACTTTTAATAATCCTAGTTTGATATGAAGTGATCGATATGAAGTATTCTAAGGCTAATTTAATATGAAATGATAGATATGAGATAACTGATATGAAGTGATTTATTATTTTACTTATCCTAGTTAAATATCATGTGGAGGTAATAAAACTTTGTTGGAACCAATATATGCAATAAAAAAATCGCTATGTTGTGAATAACTTTTAATCGTTGATCTTTTCTAAAGTATTTATTTTATGCGAAGGCAAATAAAAATTTGTTATAATGATCCTTTAAAATAAACGCATTTTTTTATGTAAATCAAATTTTATATTTAAGTATTTTTAGTAGGTATGTATTTTTTATGATAAATTTAAATATTTGAAACTAATTTTTATTTTTTTTAAAAGATTATTGTTTAAAGTTACTTTAAATTGTGAGCAAGTTAAATTAAAATCTTTATGTTGCAATGGAATGATTTAATTGCTTTATTTATTTGTTTCTATTTTTAAATTATTTAAAAGTTTTTTCTTTAAACTTGACTTTCTAATGAAATGATTAAAAATTGCTATTTTAAAAAGACTAGGTTATCTTTAAAGAAAGATTATTTTTTTGCAACTTTTTGAAAAAAATGTTTATAGAATTAAAAAATTTTTTTTTTCTTTTCAGTAATTTAATTTCACTTTTCAATAATTTAAATAAAATGTGTTCATTTAACAAACAATCATTAGAAGTAATTTGTAAAAGCATTCTGCGTATCTTTAATAAAACCTTTTAAAAGTTAAGTTTTAATGTAATTAATTTCAAACTTAATTAAAATTGTAACGAGAAGTAATTTTTGCTTTGAGCTTTATTTTAAAGCTTATATATTTTCTTTTTTGTAAGAAATTATTTTCTTTTTTCTATAATTTTCATTTTTTTTAATACTATTTCAAGCTTCTTTTAGCCTTTCTTTTTTCAGCGCATTTCTGAAATGTTTAAATCATCAAAACATTTAAACAGTCGTGGTCAAGCTGTCAACAAAAAAAATCATTTGTGTGGTCATCAATAGCATTCGATCGCACGCCATTCTTGTCCAAGCCTGTATTATCTGTTTTGTAACCAATTTTCTTTTCTTGTGCAAGGTTAAACTGCAAGAGAAGTACGCAAGCAAAAGTTGACAATGTATGGGTGCTCAGTAGCTGGTCACCATTTGTTCACTGTTCCAGGAAAATAATTTGTGGCAGAAAAAAAAAATTTATTTAAAGAACAAATTTACTTAGATTAATTACTTAGAGACTTTAGTAGGATAAATAAAAAAAAATTAATAATATAAATAGTATAATAAATAATATAAATAGTATAAATAAAATTGTATGGATAAAGTATAATAAAAACTCAAAAAACCTTATAACATCTTTTTTATTTTATTCTCATATTTAAATGATTTTAAAAATATTTTAAAAATTAAAAAGTTTATTACAGACCAACAGACTTGAAATATATATGCAAAATAAATTTAACTTATTCTCTTATTTTGAAGTAACTTTAAAATCTGGCAATACATGATAAATAAAAATATTGAAAAAAATAATTTTTTAGAGAAATATTTTCTTAAAAATGTTTTTTTAATTTCTAAAAAAGCCTTACAACCGTTCTAACACTATTTTAAAAATTAAAAAAAAAAGTATACCTAAAAAAACTATATTATAAATAATAAAAAAATATCAATAATAAATAAACACATCTTATAATGAAAGAAAAACTCATTATTGTGAGTATAGAACCTGGTGGTCAGTCTCTTGTTATTTTTAGCCTCACTCATCAACCCCAATAAACCAGCTTAAAGGAGAGTAAAACAATTAACACAGGCAGAACAGTTGGAAAAATGGACTGGGAAATATGCACCATTCAAGTGAGTTGTTCTTGTATAACCTAATAAAGAAGGAATCAACAGACTAATTTTATTAAAAATTTCTTCCTGATTATTGGAGCATTCTTGATAAAATGGAGCATAACTTTATTTCAGGTAGTAGACCCCAACTGTAGTCCTCTGCAGGAATGCGGAGTACTGAAAAGGACTCCGGATTTCTGCAGAGGACTACAGATGGGGTCCAGAAGCTCTAAGCATGTTAGACGACTAACATGCTTAGAGCTTCTGGACACTAGGGACCAAAAAAAATAAAGTTATAAAACCAGAATTCTTTTGGAACTGTGCATCCCTGGTGCCCTGTCACATTTTTATTAAACTGTTATTAATAAAAATATTTTTTCAATTTAAATGTATCTTGACAAAAGTAAAAGAACTCCTTAAATTCTTTTTACAGTTAGAAAACAATATATTCACAATTGTATATAACATTTACACTCTGATAGTATTTTTCTTTGGTGTTGAAAAAGTCTTTTATCTTCCATTTAAGAAACTATCAATATATTACAGTACAGTTCAATTTCATCTTGAAAATTTTTTTTAAAGTTAATTCACTGATTTGCATTGGTAAACAATTATTACAAAATCGTAACAAACATAATTTTATAAATTTAAATATAAAAAATCATACCGGGTTAAAGTATGGTGGTTCAATCAATTGAATGTTGTGCAATATTAAACATTCCTTAAGTTTTGATTTAAGAAGAACTTTTTCTAATTTAACTCTTTCTATTTCAGTAGGATTTTGCTCAAGCTCAAAGTATAAGTTTTGGTTCATCTTTGCAACTGCTGATAAAATATCATTGCGATCTCTTTCACTCTTAACGTTTATTACATCTAAGTCTGCATTTTTAATTAACTTACAAGTATCAATATCTTCATACCCATTGTCATAAAAACTTTGAGCATAATGCAATAAACCAAGACTGCGTAACCAATCTTCAACTGGCTGAAAAGGTGTTTTTTCAACCATCTTGTATATACTATGTAACTCCAGCAGCTAGATGACAATACTTAGTCATCCTCAAAAAACATATGTGTTGTATTTTTTATGTGTTAACATATATGGTTTTAACTAAATATAGACTTTAAAATATTAGAAAATGTTCTGATTGACAAAACTTAAAACAAAACTGAAAACAAAACTTAAAAACGTCATACCATTGACGTATCCAGGCTTATTTTGACACCAGTATACTGGTTTGGACGCCCCAAATTTGATCCTAAACTCCAGTTCTTAATTATGGATATAATATAAGCATAAGTTCTTTGCATTATAAAAAGAAAAGGGAATTATTAAAAAGATAGGATAAAAGTGTATATAACATGCTCCCTTGGTCTGAATGTCCGCAGGATTCATGTACAGCTACACCAGCACAAATATCTGATGACATATATAAAACATTTTTCTTAAATGGTGTCCTCAAAAAATTTCTAGATACGTCACTGCATATTTATTTTTATATTATATCACTATTTACAAGACTACAGACAATCACCACCAGGGCGCAACAAATCATTTTTTTAATGGACATTGACATTTGTATATTTATTTATTGAAAAACGTCTAATTTAAGAGGTATATGTCAAAAAGGGAGTTTTATTTTTAAATAATTTTTATTAAAGTTTTATATAATAATTTATTAGATAAAGATGCTTATAGAATTTAATAAGCTTTTATTTTTTCAAAATAATATTTCACGCATTTGCAAAGTACATGCAAATTAATGATAATTAATAATGCAATGACCTAATGATTGTTAAATGTTATCTGTTATTGTAAAATAGTGAAATTTTCAATGTAATTACTTTAAGTTATATACTAATAAAAAAATATATTAACTTAAAGAAATTAAAATAAAAGAGAACTAAAATTAAAAGTTGTTTTAAGATTTCTTTTTTTAAAACCTTAAATAATAATATTATATTAAGTATTTAATAATAAGTTAATAAAAATATCATATTATTGTCACTAGGGGGTGGGGCCCCACCGAAAGACACCATCATGACTTGATACAAAGGGATGACACCAAATTGAAAAATGCAAATATGACACGGGAGGCTGCATAAGTGCGAATTAGCATATATGCAAACTGGCATAAGTACAAAGCATTGCAAAAACTGGCATAAGTGCGAACTGGCATATGTGCGAGTTGGCATAAGTGCGCCAAAACATTTTGCAAACATTGGCATAAGTGCGAATTGGCATAAGTGTGAACTGGCATAAGTGCGAAGTAGTTACAAAAACTGGCATAAGTCCGAATGGGCATAAGTGCTCCAAACAAATTTGCAAACATTGGCATAAGTGCAAATTGGCATATGTGAGAATTAGCATAAGTCTGAAGCAGTTACAAAAACTGGCATAAGTGCGAACTGGCATAACTGCGAATTGGCATAAGTGCATCGAATAAAATTTCAAATATTGGCATAAGTGTAAATTAGTATTTCGCACTTATGCCAATTCACACTTATGCCAGTTCGCACTTATGCCAATGTTTTCAAATTTATTTGGCGCACTTATGCCAATTCGCAGTTATGCCAGTTCGCACTTATGCCAGTTTTTGTAACTGCTTCGCACTAATGCTAGTTTGCACTAATGCTAGTTCGCACTTATGCCAATGCTTGCAAATTTGTTTGGCCCACTTATGCCAATTTACAATTATGCCAGTTCGTACTTATGCCAATGTTTTCAAATTTATTTGACACACTTATGCCAGTTTTTGTAACTGCTTTGTACTAATGCCAGTTCGCACTTATGCCAATGTTTGCAAATTTGTTTAGCCCACTTATGCCAATTCGCACTTATGCCAGTTCGCACTTGTGCCAGTTTTTGTAACTAATTCGCACTTATGCCAGTCCGCACTTATGCCAAATCGCACAAAATTTTTTGAATCGCATAAAATTTTTTGGCGCACTCAAGCCAATTCACACATATGCCAGTTCGCACTTATGCCAGTTTTTGCAACGCTTTGCACTTATGCCAGTTCACTCATATGCCAATTCGCCCTTATGCCAGTTTGCGCTTACGCCATTCGCACTTATGCTGGTTCGCACTTATGAAATTCTTGCTTATTCAGTTGTCCCATATGACAGTATGTCTTTAATTTTTTTTAAAAGAACTATTTGTTTTTTTTTAAGAAACTAGAAACCTGTGAAAATCTAGAGGGGTGACATCAAAACTTTACCGCACTGGAAGACACCAACCCCACCAATGCCACTAATTATTAGTGTTGTTAAACCCACAATAAAAAATGAAAACTATAATAAACATAATCATTCAATATATTCTATTAGATTTTATAATTTTTAGCAAAACTTAAAATTTTTTTTAATATGTAAACAAAATTACTTCACTTTAAGGAAAATGAGAAAATTTAAAAAAAGCACGCTTTTGAAGAAGCCAATCAAAATGTTCAAGCATGGTTTCTTTTAAACTTAATTTTAAATGCCTTCATTTTAAGTAAACTTAACATGCTTTTGTTAATGCACGCAAAAACTTTGATAAAACACAATTAGTTTCATCAATAGCGTATTTAGTTATTTTACTTAAAACTAATGCTATTGAAGAAAGTAATCATGTTTTAGCATGGTTTCTTTTAAAGTCTTTGAAAATGCGTTTTAAATGTTAGTAACTAATTGTTTTTTCTTATAAATATATGCTTTTTATAATAAATAAAAAAACTATCAATTGAATAATTATTAAAAAAAAAAAAAACTGCTGAAGTAATGTTTTCGTTTTAAAATTTTTTAAGCAAACACTAAGGTTTGCATGAGTAAAAGTAAAGAAACAAGATGTTTGTTTTTCTGTCTTTTTTTAACAAATGTTTATTTTTACTTTTGTAAGTAGTCAGGGAGCAACAAATCGACGTTTGTCGATTTGTCGCTCCCTGACTACTTACAAAAGTACAGACAATCACTACTTACAAGACTACAGACAATCACTATTCAAGTTATTGATTATTATATATTGCTTTTAAAAGAGTAAGAAAGAATTTGAAAAACTCAATAAGTTATTTATAAATTATATAAATTATGAAAACATTGAATCAAAGATGTTTGTACTGATGTTCTCAGAAAAACTAAACAAATAAATTTTTTTAACATAAAAAATTTTTTACAGTAAAAGGATTGTGATTGACCAGTCTTACATGATTTAGTTTTAGCGAGTAAATAGAAAAACCCTCACAAATTAAACCCTCGCAGTGTAAATAGAAAAACCCTCAACAACACTCACAAAAACTAAATAAATATAATAGGAAATCCACACCCTAGCAAAATCAGCAGCATTGATATTTGTTTTAGTGTTTTAAAAATTATTTTCAGCCTCTTTAACTCTCTTCTCTATTTTATTGTAATTCCAAACATAAAAAGTGATTGTTAGTAAAATTGTTCTGTTTAAAACAAGAACTTTAATTAAAAGACAAAAATGTCAAAAAATTCTATTAGTAATTTATCTCTTTGAGACAAAATTAAAATAATTTAATCATTTTATTTTGCTTTTTTGTCTTAATTTGTTTAATAACAAATTAGCATATACAATAGGGTGTCCCAAAATAAAAAAATTATGGGCATCCAAAACTCAGCTTCTATATGTAAAATGACTAAATATATCAAAAATGATGATCTTAGACAAGTAGCTCATAATTGTGTGCAAAACTTGGAAATTTTGAAAATTTTAAATTTTTGTCATATCTTTTAAGTATTAACTAATTTTATTTTTAATGTATTTTTATGTTATTTTTATAAAAAAACATGGTTGAAATTTTAGTCAGAACCAAAATTTTAATCTTTTACCAACATTTAGTTTGCTTTTAAAGATTGTTCTCGCAATCGCTGCTATTTGTATGTTCAGGAATTTCGATCCATACATATGATTTTAAAAAAATTTAAACTTTTTTAGCTTTTATGAAGGTGAAAAATTTAAAACTTTTTCAGCTTCATAAACTAATATATTTTTAAAAATGTAGTACGCTGAAAAAAGAATTAACAAGAAAGGACCAGAAGAAAGGAAAAAGTACACGACTCAAAAAAATGCAAGACAACTCTAAACCTGCTAAAATATTCCATAAATGAGCTTCCTGTCAACCAGTTGCCCAATGGTAGAATTATTATGGAATATTTTCACTTTTTAAAACCTTGAAGGTAATTTGAGTATCAAGTTTTTTTGTAGCTTATTTACTTACCCCACAATCAATAGAAAGAAATATATATTTGAGTTGATTTTTTATTACTAGTGGAGGGCTTTAATCCAGCAAAGAAGTTTGTCAAAAACACCTCAGCTGTCACTGACATCTGGATAAGAGCTGGGTTTAAGTACAACATCAGTAAAAGGACTATTAGGTAAATTTTACAATATTCTTTGCAGATTTTTTTTTTTAGTAACCGCGATTATGTCATAACATTTTAGTGTAAGGATCCTTAGACTCGTAAAGAAATATAATTAAATTATTGATTGAAATAAACTAGACTGGAGTTCTACCAAAGAGAACTGGACTTAAAAGCAAGAAAAATAATAGATTGAGAGCAAAAACTTGTTTGATATATCTATAAATATAAATTGACATGATTATGAAAGATCAGTGAAGAACAGAAAAGGGTGGAAGTAAATATAGCCTTTTATGAAGACCAGAGATCTGAAAGGAATATGGACATGACTGCAAACAAAGATGAAGAGTTTGAACTTACGGCTTAGCAAAGAATAGAAAGTTTTGTAAGAACTAACAGTGATAATTAAAACATTGAGAATTAAAACATTGAGATTTAGCTTTGGATGGACAAAGCAAATTTGAAAATGGATCTATTTGATAATTATATTACATGCAAAGGAGGTACAACTCTGAATATGAGGTATCCAAATCTCAAAAATCTGAAAAAATTTAAGAATTAACACCTTATGAATTAGTTGCTATTCCTGCTGTTAATGTTTAGTATAAAACAACCTGATGAAGTTATTTATAACACGTCCACCAAAGGGATAAACTTATTGATTTATTTAACACCTGATAGTTGTATTTCTGCTGTTAATGTTCAGTATAAAATTATTGTAAGACCCCATCCTGGTATGATTTCTGCTATCAGCAATAAACCTGGTGATGTGCTCTTTATAG